AACACCTTAAATTTTTCGCTTAAGAAGAAAAACCATCTAAAAGTCTTTGCAAATTAGTAAGGAGTAGTTAACTTCAGTAAAGAAGAGAGTTGAAGACCACAGACTGAAGTGTTTACTGAAAAATTTTAAAATTCAGCTTACCAAGCAATCTCGGCTAATCGTTCGTATAAGACTGTCATATGAGATGGGATCCATTGAGAGACCTTCATTGGGATGATTTTCTATGAAATCCAGATCTTTCAAGGTTGGGGAAGCCTGGAAAGATTATAATTATTACAAATCTGGAGAATTTAAATCATAGAAAGTCTTGCACTTACCTTTGCCCGTTCAGATTTCGATGCTAAACGTTTGTAAGTTGACCCTTTGAGATCATATTTCTCATGCATAGTTACATTTTGTGGTAGCAAATTATTCATTACTAATAAGCGAATATTCTTTCCCAAACTCTGAACAAATTGCTATTACTGAATTTTAAACTTATGGGGAACAAAGTGGTATCACAAAGAAAAAATGCACAGAAAGACAAATAACAAGGCCAACCTGGTAACAAAACAACCCGAAAAACTTTGGCAACAAGGTCTTTGGATTTTGTTGGAGATTCTGTAAACACCATTGCATACGAAACCATATGAATTTTGAATATTTCAAAAAAATAACTCACCATGTAGTACCCGGGCAATAATTTTTGTAAAAATTCAGCCTCTTTGTGCTGTACTGTTTTGATAATAAATTGATCATCTTGTGAAACATAGAAAATCGATCCAGATGCACCAGCATTCGACAATTCTCTCAATGGCTCCGTACATGTAGACCTCTGCAAAAGGGAAGTGTCAAAAAGGATGTGGTCCTTTGACGCAGGCAGGGCAGTTCATATGTTGGGGATCGGATTTGGTCGCTGGAGGGAGAGGAGGGGGGGGGGGTTATTCTTTCAAAAGAATATTTTCGGTTGTTGATTTTTCACGGTATTTCCTGTCGTAAGTGTGCTTTCCCCTCCTCCTCGCTCCAACCGCCCCTCCCTTCCACGGCTGTTTTACAGGGGAAAACTAACGTAGTTGGGGTGGGCATTCGGCCGCGCCTCTCTGCTTGTTCCCCAAAAAGACTGAGAGGAGCAAGGGAATCACTTCTCGAGGGAGAGTCCCGCAGGGAAGACACAGTCTCCAGTGTTACGGCAAGGGTTACGGAGGTGTTGGCGAATGCTCCCACCCTCCCCCCTAACGACGTTAATGCAGTGTTTTCTGACAGACCACAATATTAGGGACTTTTCAATGCACAACCTTCAAATGTATTCCAGGAAGTTACCAAATTAAGTTTCCAAGAGAAGGCTCAGATTCTGTCTTCGTTTCATAAAATGACTTCCCACCGAAACGGTCCCCAATTTCTTGAGGTTAAACCACAATAAAACACCGGTTGAACATAATCAACATCACGCTCACATACAGGGCCATTTTCTTAAAAATAAAAATTACTCACCAAAAAATCAGCTGGCTTAATATTGAACAGTTCCCTGAAGTAGCGAAATGCAATCGGTGCATAGGTTTTGAAGCGAAAATCACCAAACGAGTGCGATGGTGTCGTAGCGGAGCCAGCACTTAAATATAAAATCAAAAATGAAAAAAACCGCTGTAAGAATAACATTTCAAAAAGTAAAAGAGACTCGCACTCAATGAAAATCTAGCTACTTACGCGGGAAATGCTACGTTCTCGATCTTCTGGAAGTCCTGCAATAACAGGTCTCGATCGGGCCGAGATGCGAGGCTACCGATGGAGTTGGCGATGCCCAGCTGAATTGCGCTCATAAGCGCATTCGTGGGCACCTTCTTGTAACTGACCTGGAATTACCTCACTTTTACGTTTCTCATGAAAACATAAAGAAAGACTGAAAACAGTTTTCCTAGAGCCATACCAATGAACGGCTTTTTTAATGGCAAGCGATTTTGGGGGCACTTCTGTCTTGGCGAAGCGATACAATTAATCCTTATAAAAAATAACCTCGGAAAAGCAGACGCGCTTTTAATAGGGCACAGATTTGCGCCAAATAAAATTTTGGATAAATATGACCTTCCCCTTAGAATTTTCCCTTTCTCTGCGACTCCCCTCACAACGCATTTTCCCCACAATTGCACGGCTTCCGGCGGAAGGGAAAGGGGAGAGTTCCCTCCAAACAGTTACCACAGTCTGTTTTGAGAAAGAGGGATTGCATCCTTGTAAGGACCATGCGACCAGAAGGCCCAATGGGGTTTGCTGAAATGTAGAAGCCGCTCTACTGTCAACATACAATAACGTAAGACTAGGGTCCTGAAATGTCGAAAAACGTCTAAAAACAGTCCACCCTCCAGTATTTTGCCAGGAATGCTGGGAGCAAATGTGTTATTTCACTAGTATCAAGGTATGGGAAATGCTGAAAAAAGGAATGGGCTCTAAACCCGTCAGCAGTAACATATTTTCCTCTAGATGAACCAAGAAAAATCAAGAAAAATTAAAAATAAGCACACACCTCTCCTTGCTCATCGATACGACGATGACCAAGTTTTTGTTTCTCGGCCGGTTGCTGCATTTCTGCACGATCTTCACTTGCTCCAGGAGCAGTCTAAAATCCATAAATCACTATAGTAATACGTATACGAAACAAAACAAGGCGCTATTCAAATAAAGTGGGCGTTCCAGAACAAGGTAGCCAAGGCTTCAAAACACAATAATGGTGAAGAAAGGACTTGGTTCCTA